GGGAGCTTAGACCCAGAGAGGGAGAGGAGCTGTGTGCTGATGACCTGGGGGCAGGCTTGTAGGGCATACCCTTTGGTTGGTTGATGATTGATGCATGGAGGGGATTGTAACCATGGCAATGAAACAATATACAGTAGGATGAATGTAAAACTAATGTTCTCCCATGTAAACTATCACATAATTCACAATAAAACATTAAAAAACAAAAGCAAAATCCAAACCACTACTGTTGAGTCGATTCCATCCCAGAGACCCTGTAGGGCAGAGTAGGGAGTGTGGTGGCACCATACAATAAGCACTGAATTGAGAAACACAAGGGCTGCCGTTCAAGCCTGCCAGCTGCTCCGTGGGAGAAAGATAAGGTTTTCTGGTCCTGCAAAGAATTTAAAAAAAACAAAAAAAACCCCAAAACCTTGGAAACCAGTGTAGAGGGTCGTTATGAGTAAGAACAGACTCAAAGGCACTTAGCCACAACAGGACAGAGTTGAACGGCCCCATCTAATTTCCAAGGCTGTAAATCGTTACAGAAGCAGACTGTCACATCTTTCTCCCAAGAAGCAGATGGTGGGTTCAAACTGCTAACCTTCCAGTTAGCAGCCGGTTGCTTAACCATTGCGCCACAACAACTCTTGGAAAAAGTCCTTAAACCCCCTGCCATCCATCAAGTCAACACCGTCTCACAGCGACCCCATAAGACATAGTAGAACCGCCCCATAGGATTTCCAAGACTGGAAATCTTTACAGGAACAAACAGTCTCATTTCTACTGAGGAAGCAGCTGGTGGGTTTGACCTGCTGCTGTTTTGGTTAGCAGCCCAGTGCTTAACCCTTGACACCACCCTAACCCTTAGAGTTCTCTGAAGACCAGCAGTAGCTTCTCTAAGAGCAGCCAGCAAGTCTGAGATCCATGGAGGGAAAACGAGGACCAAGGGCGTACGGCGACCAAGGGGAGAAGAACCCAGGTGTCCAGGCTCAGAGCCCTGGTGCTGTGGGCCCCTCTGCCTCTCTGGGAGCCGCCATCCTGCCTTTAGGAGAACAGAGGTAGGACCCTGACAGAACATGCAAGATTCCATAGTTTACAGGCTCTCAAGAAACTCAGTGCAAACAAGTTTTCTGTGTGCAGCTAGCTTGTGTTGGATGACACAGACACAAATGTTCTGGCACAAAGGGTTTCCTTACTCTGAATGAAAACTACAGAAGATCTGATTCCACTGGAAAGGATGTGATCTGTAGGAAAGGCCTGGTCCAGATAAAGGGTCCACGGGAGGTGGCCGCAGAGGCCACTTGTTGGTCCTGGGGCCTGCTCAAGGCTTCAGAGGCCCCTTGGATGTCAAATCACAGTAGAGAGGGAGATGGGCACAGGGAGGGCTGGTGGGAGGGGAGCCACTCTCTTTCCTTCCCACGGGTCAGGTTGTGTTTCTGGGGCTCTGGAGGGAGGTGCTCAGGTGACCCACGGTATGTTCAATATCAGTCAGAATTTTAGAGAAGACAGAGCTGTGAAAAATGGAAGGGTGTCCCTGAGTGGTACAAACAATTAAGTGCTTGGTCGTTGTCTGGGAGGCTGGTGGTTCGAGGCCACCTATCCCTAACGTGTCTCAGAAGAAAGACCTGGCTGGCTGAAGCCTGTGGAGCACAGTTCTACTCTGACACACATGGAATCACCGTGGGTCAGAACTGATTCGACGGCAACTGGTTACCACTGAGTGGTTGGAGTGTTGAAGCAGAGGTTGTGGGTGATGCCTAACAGGGGTTCTTTCCTGTTATGAACCACACAGTGTAGTTATGGCTTTGTGGGTCAGATGGTCTCTAAACTATGACATATAGGCCTGTGTAAGACATGTTTGATGAATGGAGTCCACGGCGGCTCTAGGACGTGACGTCATGCTGTAGGATAGATAATGCACTGGACTGAAAAGTCAGTTTGAACTGCAAAGTAGATGGTTTCAAACTCACTAGCCGCTCCTCAGGAACCCTACACAGGGTCGTTAAGAGTAGGAACCGACTCTACAACACAACAACAACAAACAGCCCCAGAGCAGTCATTGTTATTGTTGTTAAGTGCTGTCAAGTCGGTTCCGACTCATAGTGACCTTGTATAGAGTTTCCAAGGAGCAGCTGGTGAGCTTGAACCACCGAACTTGCGGTTCGGCGCATGAACTCCAGAGCATTCATAGACAATACATAAATGGATGGGTATGACAATGGTCCAGTAATTCCTAAAACAGGTGCTGCAGTGGATTTGGCCCCAGGGCCAGAGTTTACCGATCTTGCACAGAGCATGGATTCTCACACTTGGCTTCACATCAGAATGACCTGGGGGAGTTTTAAAATACCAATACTGAAATCTCAGTCCCAGGCTTATGATTTAACTGACATTGCAGGTACGCTGAGAGTTGGGAATTTTAAGTTCCTTGGGTGATTCTAATGTGCAGTCACGTTTGAAAAGCTCTGGTGGCACTGTGGGTTAGGCACTGGACTGCTAACGGCAAGTTCGGTGGTTCAAACCCACCAGCCGCTCTACTGGAGAAAGATGAGACAGTTTGCTGCTGTAAATAGTGACAGTCGTGTAAACCCTAGGTAGGGTCAGTGTGACTTGGAATCAACTTGATGGATGTGGGTTTGGTTTGGGTTTGGAGTCCTTTCCTGTGGAGGAAGAGAGGATCTTCAAGGTCCTTCGTAAAATGAAAATTTTGTTTCTGAAGGTTCCTTATAAGATCTTGCCTTGGCTCAGCACAAGCTGCTTTGGTCGACAGATGTTTTAGAGGTAAGACCCTCAGGGACCAGTTTCTCTTTCCTCAAATATGCAAAGAATGGGTTTGCAAAATAAAAAGAAAATAGAGGATCTTTTTAATAAACAAACAAACAACAAAAAAATCACTGTCCTGTAAGGTTTTCAGATCAATGATCACAGGAAAACATACTCAGAGGACAGTAGTATTGTTTGCTATTAAAATAACCAGAAACACTCTTGTCTCTATTTACAGGACATAAAGATTCTTCTGTTTGGTTCAAGCTTTGGCTGTTTCAATGAAGAATGGAAACTGCAGAGTTTTTCCTTTAATGACACAGCTTCCTTAAAATATGGCATTGTGCAGAACAAGGCAGGTGGATTGCCAAGTTCCCCAGGGATCTTTCTGCTGGGTTCATCATGGGTAGGAGTGGGGCACTGCCCAAGTCTGATAAATCTTTGAAGCAGTAACTGCTGAGCTGTGTGTGGTTACCCAGTAAATGTGGACCCCCAGGAACTTCAAGTGTGGCTGATGGAGCCAGAACTGGCGAATGAGAGCTTTTGCTTTGAAGACTTTTAAACAGGCATGCATTTAAGGAGTATAGCCCTGGTGGCATGGTGGGATCAATACTGGACTGCTAACTCCAAGGTCAGCGGTTCAAACCCACCTGTTACTCCAAGGGAGAACCACAAGACTGTCTGCTCCTATAAAGATTCTAACCCTCAGCAATCAATCCTAGAGAGAATGGCTATGAGTCAGAGTTGACTTGATGGTAGCGGTGTTGATTATCTTTTTCCTGTGAGTGGTGTGTAAAGGTGGGGTCCTCAGTGAGATCCGGCTGGGGACACTGGAGAGGCCTTCACTGAGCCCTGAGAACATGTGTGATGATTTTGCAGGGAGAGGACATTCCAGGTAGGGGGCAGTGTGGACAAAAGTGAGGCTGAGGGGCCCCAGGAAAAGGCAAAGGCAAAGGCATCAAGTATGTGGAACAGAAGGCCTGTCAGGAGGAAGGGATAGAATTGTAGGGTGGGGCAAGATGGTGGTAGGCTTTCAGTGGCTAATTTTTAACCTGGCTTATACGCATTTCACAAGATAGACTCATTAAGGACCAAATAAGACTCTTAAGTCTAGGATCAAAGACTGGCAGGTGGAGTAGCTCATCCAGAGTCCATTTCTCAAACCACAGGAACCCCCTGCTCCCCGGCCCCAGCTTCTGTCCCACCCTAGCTCGGCCAAGCTCTGTGTGTCTTCTTGCACCCCATGCCCCCAGCGTGAAGGACTGGCCGACTCCCCTGCCCACTGCTCTGAGAATCTCTGTACCTGGCTGGGACCAGTTTGTGTTGTTCAGTTCCACTGGCCTTTGCTGTTGTGTCCTATAGGCCAGGCCTCATGACACCTACAGAAATAAGCTTCTCAGGGTGCCTTGGGAGGGAGCAAAGGGACATAAATGGGCTGCTGAGGCTGGGCACAATGAGGGCAGGGTGGCTTAAATGGAGGCTGTCAGAGGACTTCCCTTCTAGCTGAGAAGGTTGGGGAAGCTCCCTGGAGGAGGTGACTTTTAGGATGGACTTCGAGGGTTGTGTAGATGATGGCTCCTTTGTCCTGAGGACCTGAGAATATTTGCTGGTATGTCTGGAAACCTGCAGTGATGTTTCCATGGCTTCACACAAGACTGGTTGAAGAATCACTTTCCTCCTCTCGGACACTGCAGACCCTCTCCTCCCATGAGTGATGCATGCAGAGGCCTTTGCCATCCCCTCTCTCTGACTCAGGGTCACTGCTTCATAAGAGCCATGGTATGACACAGAACCCTTGTTTCAGAGGATACGGCTGGGCAGCCTGGGGTCCCTGTAACCTGTGGGTGGGAGGTGGTCCTGGGAACAGAGAGCTCTGTCCTGAGCCAGTTCTTGTCAGCAGAAACTGTGTGGTTCTTTGCAGGGTGGTCCCTGTGGGGTGCTGGCAGCGGTCCAAGGATGTGTCTTAAAAAAGCTCCTGTTTGAAGGGGAGAGCAGAGCCAGCTCTGTTCGGTAAGTCCACTGCTATTTCCAGCAGTCATTTCTTTTCCCAGGGCTTCTCTAAGTGTCCAGAAAAACCAAGCAAGGAAACATGGGCATTCCCTGACCTTTCCTGCTTTCTGGGGATAAAGCAGGTCCCTCGGTGTTGCACATAGCTTGCCCTTGACTACTTATGTAAAAGGCTGGTGGTTCGAACCAGCTCAGTGGCACTGTGATCTGCTTCCATAAAGATTACAGCCAGGAAAATCCTAGGAAGCAGGTCTACTCTGCAACATGTGGAGTTGTCATGAGTCAGAATTGGCGCAACAGCGACGGGAAAAGTAAGAAAGGGGAAATGACAGCTGGCTAACAGGATCAGTGTGGACCAGTCTGAAATTGTTTCCAGAAGCAGGGAGGATGGGGATGCCACGTTCCAAATGCTGGGCACCTGGAATGGTATCAAAACCAAGCGCACCCCCCTTCTGTTCAATGCAGCAGATCCCCGAGTCCTTCCAGGTCCATGTCGACCTGCTGACTGACTCAATCCAGGTCTTCCTCCCTCCCATGTTACCTCATCTCTTCCAGCACCCATAACCGCACATTCCAGCCAACCCCACAGAAATGTCTTCCACTCCCTTAGTCTATTTATTTTCCATTTCACACATTAAGTGTTTGCACATGGGTAGCTCATTCATTCAGCAGACATTCCTGGGACATCTATGCAGGCACAAGTGATACACAGAGGAAAACGCCTTCGTTAGTTTCCAGAATGGCTCTGCAAGGCTGAGGGGCAGACAAAAGCTCTAATAAATCCTGACCTATCTCAACACTGGTTGATGCAACTCAGAAGACCCCTCCTGTCCTTGCCTAGTAAATAACCCCACCGTACTCCCAAAGATGATCATGCGTTGGATTTTAGATCCCAAACTGGCTCAAATGTAACAAGAATTCTGAGGTTGGCACAGGAACGGACAGTGTTTTGTTCTATTGTGCATAGGGTCCTTATGAGTTGGAATCGACTCAACGACACCTAACAACAGAACCTGAAGTTGGAACCTGGAGTCCCTGCCTGCATGATGCAATGGTTAAAATGCTTGTTAACAGAAAGGTTAGAGTTTTGAGTCCACCCAGAGGTTCCTGGGAAGAAAGTCCTGGAGATCTGTTTCAGAAAAATCAGTCATTGAAACTCCCACGGATATAGTTGTACTCTGACATACATAGGGTTGCCACGAGTAGGAACTGACTCAATGGCAGCTGACTTTTTGTTTTGTTTTGTTTATAGAACTGTAGCTGAGCTTAGTTTTGCTAGTTGCTGACCTTTATTTAAAGGCATTTGCTGCTCCCGCAAAGATTTACGACCTTGGAAACCTATACAGAGTTGCTATGACTCTACTTAACAACAACAACAGCTCCCTTTGAAACAGGCAATTTCAGAGTCTGTTTTTTTTTAAAGCCGTTTTGAAAAAAAGCCTGGGTGTTATAGAAGCAAATAAGATTCATAGCCTGTTTCTTCAGGGTTCGGATTCCTGGGAGAGATGCTAGTTCCCTAGACATTTAGCCACACTCGGCTGTCTAATGAAACATGTTCCACTGGCAAAGATGCTTTTGCCTTAAACCCAGCTGAAGATAGCTTTTCATGCTTGGCGTCTTATAATCTGTCTAACAGTTTTGCAGAGTAATAAATCAAGATCTTCTCTTCCACACCGAAAGATGCTCACAAGATTCTTTTATTTGTACAGAAACATGACATCTCCACAGAAAAAGCAAATTCTCATCTTGACCTTTTTCTTCTCTCTTCATACTCCCACCTAGATCCAACAGGGTTGCTTCGTATCTGTGTTGGACCATTCTCCACGGCTTCTCTGGAGTCCAGCCCAGCGAAGTGCTAGAAAGTTGGAGTTTAATGTCATGAGCAGAAGGAAACCTTAGTAAGGTTCAGAGAGTTTAAATTCAAGTTCCCTGTTCATGTTCAGGGACCCTTTCTGAGCACACACATTCTTTCTTTCCTTTGGAAACAAGCAGAGGTCTCACTTGTGCTTGGCAGGAAGGCAGGGATGAACAAGTCAGGAATGACCTGGCCCTCTTGCACTTACAGTCAAATAGGAGAGCCAGACAAAGGAACAGGCCACGACAGTGAAGGGAGACAGGAAGCTTCCTGGAGGGGTACCGTTTTAACCTTACTGAGATTTGAAGGTTGAGCAAAACTCTTAATCCCTCCTCCCTCTTACATATGAATGCACCCATTTATTCTTCACTCTCCCTCAATTTTTCCCTTCCCAGTAAAGAATCCCAAACTCCATCCCCAGCCCCCAAGGACCTTGTGTACCTGGCTAGTTCGTTTCATGGCACCGGACTCTGTACTTTGGGGAGACTTTCCTAGTTAAGACCAACTTTGGCCCTGCCTCGAAGGACTCCTTCAAGGTATCATTCTACTAATTCGCTTGGTTCTGCTGATGACCTGCCTCTGCCTACCAGCTCTATGAGAACAGTCATGTCACTGGGCCACCTAGCTCACATCTGTGTCCCTGGCCTCCAGCCCTGGACCATGAGCTCAGTACAGGCCTGCAGAATTGTTGTTGAATGAGCAATGCATGGGCAGTTAACTGAGTAATTCGGACAAATCGGGTGGGGAGACAAGTCTGGTGTTCCGTATATACAAAGACCCTAGGGCAGAGGGGAGGAGGATGGGAGCTGAGGGGAGCGTGGCTCGGTAGAGACTGGAGGAACGTGAAGACTAAGCAGACCAGTTAGCACCAGACTACCAGACCTTGGTGTAGAAGGGTCATGACTCATTTCAGTTCAAATGCCCTCTTTGAGATGTTTTTGAACTTCAGTTTTGGACTTTCTGGGGGAACTTGGGGATGAAACATTGGAATTGGTTCCAGGATATGATCTTGTCCCGTACCCCCCCACCCCCACCCCTACTGAGGGATGTTGAGTGCTTCTGTGTTCTGGAGCATCTCCATAGGACAGAACTCTGCTGTCTACACAAGAGAGGAACCCTGGTTTAGAAAGGCAGAATACCATCCAAACTGGGGGCTCTGGGTAGAAAGAAAACCATACCAAGCTATGGGAAATGTCATTCTACCCCCTACATCCTGGCCACTGAGTATTGACTAAGGCCCCAATTTCTATTAACACCTTCCAGACAGGGCAGCCGGAGTCCTGGTGTGGCGCTGTGGGTTAAAGCGCCGAACTGCAAAGTTGTTTTAATCGCAGGCTCGGTGGTTCAAACTCACCACCTGCTCCTTGAAAACCCTAACAGGGTCGCTATGGGTTGGAACCAACTCAACGGCACTTAACTACAACAACAGACAGCAGTCAAGACTCGGCTGGGGTATCAGGGGAGGAGGGACTGTAGCTGGCGTCCTGTTGGGGGGTGAGGGCAAGCTAGTGAGGAACTGTGAGGAACTGGGGCTGGAGCTCGACTGAAGGTTCTCAGGCTGCAGGTGGAGACCAGGGCTGAGGTGGTCCTGGAGTCAGTGAGGTGGGCAGAAGATGGGGGAAGGAGGTGCTGTTGGCCAGCTGGGGGTTATGTGTGGGCGAAGGGAAGCGGGCAGGATGCACTAGAGGAGGTCAGTGCTGAACCTCGAGGTGGTCAGGCCTGCATCCTCCACAAAGTCTTTCTGGATTTCATCGAATATAGGAGCCTCCAATTCTGGGTAAAAGCCAGTTGCCGTCTAGTGATGACTCGTGGATCTCAGAGCAGAATGATGAGTTTGGGGAAATACATTGCCAGGTCTCTCTTCTGAGGTGCCTCTGGGTGGACTCGAACTGCCAATTCTCTGGTTAAGCAGCAAAGTCCATTAACCATTTGCACACCCAGGGACTCTCCAACACTGGGTGCTACCTTTCATTCTCTCCAGCCTTGGTTGCCCCTGGGCCGTGCACACAAGTGCTCTGTCTGCAGGTAGAGTCTAGCTGGTTGGCTGGTGCCCTCGGTGAGGCCACTGGCTTCTCTCCTGGGGGCAGGTCCAAGAGGGAAGAGCAGAGACCTTGGCTCAGATGCTGGGGTTTCTAATCCAGTCAGGACTGCTGGAGAACCCTGAAGGGATGCAGGAAAAGGGGGCTTTGAGAGGCCCAGAGGCCCATTCTCCTGACCACAGTGAGGACTCTGCTCTTCCTATGGTGAGAAGACCATCTGGGGCACGTGGCACCAGATGCTCTCCTCACACTCTCCGAGCTCTGGACCTGAGCCTTGGGGTGTTATGGGTGCTTTAGGGGCTGGAGGTAGATGGAGTGAAGAGGGGAGACCCCTCAACGTAGAGGTTAGGACGTAGACCAAGCAAAGGTCATGGGTGTGACCAGAGGTGCTGGGGACAGGCAGGTGAGGAGGGAGGTGTGGGGTATCAGAAACTGAGCCCCTGTCCCTGCTTTGCCAAGACCCTGCAGGTCAGTGTCCCCTGCCCTCTGGACATTGGTGTAGCCTATGGGGACTGGTACCAGGGCTGGAAAAGGGAAGCTGGGCTCTGTGGCCTGGAGCCTGTCCAGGTGGGTAGAGGGAGAACTGGATGTGGGGCTGGACAGCTGGACTGTGATTGTGGGAAGTGTGTCTTCTGTTTGTACATCAGGAAATGTGCTCTCCACCCTGCCTAAGCTTGATTCTAGAAGAAAATACAGACGAAATCCTTTGGGGCAGTGCAGGTGAATAGGACCATCTAACTCAGCCCACTGCAGTGCATATGGGGAAGCTGAGGCCCAGAGAGGGAAAGCTGTTTGCTCAGAGCCACATCTGACAGCATCAGCAGAGCTGAGGCTGGCCCTGGATAGCTGGTCTGTCCCACTCAGTGCTGGACTCTAGAAGAGTCCCTGGAGAGCCACACTGGCCAGACGAGGTGGGAACACCTGGATGGACCCTCACAGTGACTAAGGAGGCGACTCTGTTTTATGAAGGGCTCCTTTTTCCTAATTTGGGATAAATAAATCCAGAAGAATGTCAGCTTGAGGACTAAGGTACGCCTGACCAAAGCCATGGTATTTTCAATAACCTCATATGGATGCGAAAGCTGGACAGTGAATAAGGAAGATCATAG